TATAACCCGGCTCTAAAACGGAAGATCTACTCATCCGACAGGAACTCTCCGCAGCAAATGTCGCCGAACTGCGGAAGGGCCATCAGCGGCGGAGGAAAAGTTACAAGGAAAATTTGAACGGCCAGCAACGAGGTCCAAGCAGGAACACGACAGAAGTTTCCCGGTTCCGCCAAGACCAGCTGCCATCAAACGGCCAAGACCACAAGCAGAGGAGAAAAGGAAGGTATTCAAGGGTGACCGAACTGGGTGAAAAAAGGAAGCTTCCAGAGGAAAGCACTGAAGGGCGAGCCCGTACAAGAAGGAGGATAAAACCAAGCTACTATCTGCAGCTACCTTTAAAGACTGGGCCCAGAAAAGGATGTCCGAATATTACAAAGATAAGTAAAATTTTATGTTACTTTGCAAACTTAAGTTAATCTTTCATTCTTACTGCAAGTGGCAGATTTCAAGAAGTTTTACCTCATGCGAGGTCTACCTTTATCGCCAAAAGGGCGAGAAATGAGTTGTTGACCGATTTTTGGTATTATGTTTTTCAATTACTCGCGCGTAAAACTAAAGTTGATGTATAATAGCGTTGTGTAAAGACTTAAATATTGTAAAAAGTTATTGTATAAATTTTATTTAAAACATTCTAGCAAGAAAGAAGTTTTAGTCTGAAAGACTTTTTGAAATGTATTATTTCAATGTAGAAAGAATTGGCACTTGCTTTGAAAAGAATAGAAGTTAACAATGTACTACTAATGTATGTTTTCAAATGTGTAAAATTAACGGCATGTTGATATGTTCTTATATACAATGTGAACTGTTATTTTAAATGTTAAGAAATACCGTGATATGGTAAAAGTGAAAGTAATGTTAAAAATTTGTTATTCGTGTGACTGTAAAAAGACTAAATCATGGTGAATATGTGTTAAAGGTTGAATGATGTAGTTAGGCTCTCTGACGCTACACTTTAGAGTTAGCCACTTTCAGAATAGTACCTCAGGGTTTAGAGTTGAAATTAGGGTGTGTTAAGAGGTCTTCGTTATGTTGAATTTTAACACGTTAGTGTTTTGATTGTAGGAGGAAGTGTTGGAACACGTAGACAGAAACACATTCGTGTTTGGTGTTCTTTTACAACACATGTCAGAGAGCACGGGGAGAGATAATTAAAATAGTCATGAATGAAATAAGAATGTTAAGAGAAAGTATAATTCTATATGTTACTTGCCATTTCATTGTGTAACATTTCATTAAACTAGTTTTCCTTCCAGATCTCTGGAAGGAACCAGAATTGAATAAAGCTCCTGTTTAGATGCAGTACAGATGAAAAAAAAGATTGTTGTATATCCTGGGAGCTGCTATTGTAAAAACAAATTTCTTTCTTTTAAATTTCTAGTTTCTAGCGAAGTATGTTTGTAAAAGATTGGCCTCGCGTTAGATTCTAGAGCTAAAAGTTTTCAACAAGGTCGTTTTAGACCTCAGTTTCAAACTAATTAACTCTGGCGGGAAGTATGTAAGGATCTTAAGTTTTACTAACGTTTATTTTATTTTAAATCTTTACTATCACTTCTTATTTTCTACTTCCGGCCAGAATTATAAGCGTTGAAGGATTTTATGCAAAGTTTGTCTGGCGAACGCCAAGTACTTAAGTTGTGGCTTTTTGCCAAGCGAGAGAGAGGAAGCAGAGTTAGTCGAAGCAGGCCGCTTACCTTAGAAGTTTTACGCAGTTGCTGTTGCCTTCCAGGCCAGAGGTTTTAATCCTCTTGATAAAATTAAACGTATTGTAGTGTTCACAGTTCTCTGTACTACATACGCTTCCTGTTATTATAAGGCCAATCTTCCACGTTGTATTATTCTAAAGTTAAATTAGAGTTTAGTTTTATTTTTATACTTTTACGTTAGACCCCGAGTGGAGGGTCAGTGTATTCCGAAGTACGGAAGTTATTGTATATAGAGAAAAATAAAGGGTTTTGTATACCCTTCGTCTGTATCCTGTCTACTTACCACAATTAGTGAACATAGCTTTAGTAAGCTCTCTGTTCCGAGTCAGGTCCTTGTATGTTCCCGAAGAAGGTTAGAAGGAACATTGAACCTGATAAGATATAGAAAAAAATCAAACACCAAATACAGTTAAAACAAATTTTTAAAATATTTTACAGTTAAATTATGGTTTTTATGCAAAAAAAAGCATTTCGGTAGTGGGCAACGAGACAGATTTTTCGTTGCACAAAACTGAAAGGTTACTTTTGGTCTCAAATGGCAAAAAGACACTGAAGACTTAGAAACTGATTTAATTTGTTGTGGAAGCTGAGAAATATATCTCTAATGAAATTTGACGAAATAAGTTTGAAATGCAGGGGAGAAATGCGTATAATTTAATATATGGGATAATTTAATAACTTAAATGATAATTTGATAATTCCAGAATAAATTAAGCATAATTTAATTCTCAATAAAAAAAAGAAGATGTTACATTGTTGTTGCGAAGCTTAGTTTTTCTAGATTGGCAACAAATCCACTATTCTGCTAAGTTTTAAATATAAAGTACTATGCCTGCTATGGTAAAAAAATTTAATGTGTACACCATATGACATCCTTGCACGGAATATTAAATTATGCGCATTTGTCCCGCATTTCATTTAAACTTATTTCCTCGAATTTCATTAGAGATATATTTCTCATTCAATTAATTCAGTTCTCACTTCGCCACAAGACAAAAATACATAAACCTTAAAATCCTGCTATAAAACCTCAAAATATCTTTATTAAAAATTTAAAATGTAAAACATAAATACAGTTAAAACAATTTAAAGAACAATTTTTACAATTAAAATTAGAGTTTCTACGCAAAAACAAGCAGTTCGGCCAGCGGGCAAGAAGGCAGATTTTTCGGTGCACAAAACTGAAAGTTTACTTTTCATCTCACTCGTCAAAAAGACACTGAGGGCGTAGAAACTGACTTAATTTGTTGTGGAACGCTATGCTGAGTCAACATATGGGATAATTTAATAACTTAAATTATAATTCTAGAATTAATTAACCATAATTTAATTCGCAATAGTAAAAGAAGACGCTACTTTGTTGTTGTGAAGCTCAGTTGCTCTAGCTTTGGCAACAAATCCACTATTCAGTTAAGTTTCAAAAGTAAACAAATAGGGCTTCCATGCTAAAAAAATTAGGTTTAGCCGCACTTAAACAATTTTTAAATTATTGATAATTCTACAACTATAACATGCAGGTTAACTAAAGGCATAAAAACCTTAATCGGAAGATAAGGACAATATAATTCAATCATTTTTTAAAGCCAAAAATGCATAATTTACAAACATATGAGAATAAAGAAACTGAGCTCACTGAGCCGACTAATAGTGTGGATATATACATGCATATATTTGTATCATTTTTGGTGCCGCCGATTGCAACCAAAAGGAGAGGTGCACATCTACATGTTATAGCAGTTCTATATACAAAATTTCAACGTTCTGAGGCTATCGTTTTTGAGTTATGCGAGATACGTACGTACAGACGCCACGAAAAAAAATCTCGTTTTAATTCATTTTAAATCAGGTTTATAATTCGTTTGGGGGAAAAGAGTCCTTTATTCTATCTTTACGAGCAGATGTCACGAGAAAACACTGTTAAATTGCATTCGATAGCGGTCAAAAAGGATATTTTTGCTGAAATATGGTACCCGGAGCTTTTCGTGATTACAATATTTCCTTTTACTTCGTACAAGGAAGTAAAAATTAGACTTAGCCGCACTTAAACAACTTTTAAATTGTTAATAATTCTACAACTATAACATGCAGTTTAACTAAAGGCATAAAAACCTTGACCGGAAAATAAGAACAATATAATACCATCATTTTCAAAGCAAAAACAAAATCCACAATTTACAAACATATAAGAATAAAGAAACTGAGCTCACTGAATTGACTAACAGAATGGATATATATATAGATGTATTTATACACTTTTGGTGCGGCCGACTGCAACCAAAAAGGGAGGTGTACATCTATATTTTATAGCAGTCCCACATACAAACTTTCACGAGAACATATGCTGCATTAATGGTGTTTTTGTCAACAGTTACCATATGACGTTATGATTATATATATTTGCATTGGGGGGGGGAATTTATCTAATGTGTTGATTAAATAATTTGAGATGAGAGAAAACTCAGTGTAATTTTTCTTCCGAACCTCTGGCAAGCTGAAAGATTAATTTAACTAGAAAGAACTTGAAAGATAATATAAAAACGATCTACACTTATCTTCCTTTTGTATTAAATTCATGGATTTTAGTTGTAAAATACCCATTAATATTTCAGCTGGTTCAAATACAAATACTGAAATATTAAAATATTTCACTGTCAGATGCATTTATATATATCTTATTAATTCAATCGTATTTGTGTTTCATTTGAAACTTGTTTGAGGCTCGTTCAGCATCGAAAACGTTTGTCAGCGTTGACAAGCAACGGAAGGCGACTTTTCGGGTGTTCCAGCCATGTAGCAAAATTTTAAAGTAATTAAAAGTTCGGCCTTATAATTCGGATTTTGGAACAGAATAACTTTGCAGTGTATTTTTGGTTAAACTTTTCTAGAAAAACAGCATAAAAATAATTTAAATAATAAAAATAATATAACAAATATAATACAAATTAAAAAATAACAGAAAAAAACCAAAGTTAGCAGATTTCTTCGACATTCGGGGAAGAATCTGACATTTGCAAATTTTAGAAAATCCGAACTTGCGAAAATTCGCCCTAAAGTAAAATTTTACGGGGGCGAGAAATATGGTCAGAAATAGAAATATTTTGGAAATTGGCTGTGAGGGGCTTTATGAGAAATTAAGGTCCGACGTTGATATAATGACAGAGTGATTTGCTGCATTCACGATGCCAGCTGATAGTGATAATAAATCGATAAGTAATACTTATCTTGAATGTAAAAAAAATAGTGCTTAGCGATTAGAGATTTCTTATCTATTATCAATTCTTGGAAGTATTTGTCATTTTTGAGAGGGTGTCACTAGTATAAGGAATTTCCTGTCTCAGCTTCAAAAGTCGAAATGAGTTCTTTCGATGAATTTGTGTGTTTAGATGATTTTGAAAAATATGCCCTCAAAGTTTTAAGCAAAAAAGTTGCAGATTATTATGCAAGTGGAGCAAATCATCAACAAACGCTATGTGAAAACTGTGCGGCATTTTCCAGGTCTGTATATTTTCGGCTTTCTTTTCTGCGAGAAAAATACAGTTTTTCTAATATTATTATGATTATTATATTAAACAAGTTTTCTATTTTTCATATTTACTCAGATATTGTTATTATTGCATTCAGATACGATAATGTAAAGTATTGTCTTAATACTGCATATTTAGCATCACAGTGTGATAAATAATTTAATGAATGTGTTCCAAGTTTAAAATTTAAATTTTAAAGTACAAACGTTTCATTATAAATACACCTTCCATATGTACAAGGTGTTCAGAAAAGATAATTACAGGCCTTTTCCACTTTCATATTGGTCACAGAACTGTAGTTCCAATTACAATGGTGAAGAATTTTATCAAAACAATCTCAGCCAAATCATTTTATCAAACATTATAAATAGATGTTTTCAGTATCTCAAAATTTAGTTTTTTAAAATGTTACCATAGATCAGAAAATTCAGTAATAAAGTAGTCATTATTTTTTATTAAATTAAGAAAGATGTTTTGTGCAATTGCGTAAAAATTTTAGCATCATGAAGCCAGTTACCAAGTTCATAAGAAATGATGTTTAACCCAATACAGAACTGCCGATGACCAAAACAAGAAATCCAAGAAAAAATTTTTAGATTTATCTGCTATATTATATTAAATAGAAGAGGCATACATTTCTTCCCTTTTCTCTAAATGAATTTTGTGGGTGAAGTTAAGGAAATTCCTGTATTTAAACTTAAAAAGAATAATGACATTTTACTAATCTTCTACATAAAGATCAAATTAAAATTGAATTTCTTCTTGACGAAATCATTTTTTACCCAGTATTGTAATTAATTTCATAATATTCTCTAGCATAATTTCAAAAAATTTGAGACTGGAAGTAGACGATTATTGATACCCATATTTAACGAAAGAAAACTTGCAGCCATCTTTTTCAATATCGTATATTAATGTAGTATAACAACCAGTTTTCCTATGAGAAAAACTCTAGAAAAAAACAATATCTTATCTACACAAATTCACAAGCATATATTTAATATGTATTTATAACCAAACTGCTATAGAACCAAAGTTATAAAATAATGTTATTTTCTCAAGTTCACGTATTTTTTCAATAATCAAAAATAATTTTAAAGTTATTAGATAAGTGGAATTTAAATTAAAAGTAATATATAAGTATTGTACATACTACTTGAACACAAAATCTCTTTAAATGGAATAAACACGATGTGGGAATGTTGATGAGTTACAGCAGGCATAATATGAGGCATACTTCACATTTTTCAGTAATGCATAATGATTAATGTGTTAAGATAATTTTTATTTTCCTACAGTAGTGTCAATAAATTTCTTTTAAATGACTATCAAAACTAGGTCAGCGCATTTCACGTGAATTGTCGGATGCAAATTTAAAATAATGAATAGAAACCTGCATTTTCTACAACCCAAAGTTATATTAAAAAGAATAATTTTTCAATCAAGCAACTTTTCAATCAAGTGACAAATCTGTGACTACCGCGCTGTTTGTATGTGGTAGGGTAGCAGGCTGTTAAAGAAGAATGGCCCGAAGAAGGCAGAAGACATTGATGTTCGAATCGCGACGAAGACATAGTAGGTGTTTGCAACTATATTGTGTTGTAAAGTTACATTATGTTAATCTAACCAATTATTATGATTTAGATCTTTACTGTCAATTCTTCTTTCCATTTCCCTACCAGAATGAAAATCAGGTTTGAGAGTATTCAAGGTTAGGTTTTCGGATTAAGACACAGCGCGTTTCTGCTTCCCGAGGCCATGCTATTAGGTTTTTGCTAGCTCAGATAAGACAGTATTATTCAGCTTCCGTTTCGGAAATTCGAATCAGATGATGGAAAAGCTTTCCGCTGGCAGCTGATATTTCCAAGATCCCGGATCACCGACGTCCTTAAAGAATTATATAGCAGTCCAGCAGAAGGCCATTTCGAAATAATGAAGAATTTTCATAGAGTCGAGAGCGCTTCTGCTGGAGTAATGCAAGGAATGACGAGCAAAAGTGGTGCCAATTTTGCAATGCCTGTGCGAGTCAAAAAGGGCTGAAGAAAGGCAGCTGAGGGAAGCTGCAATGTTACAGTGTAGCAGCAACTTTTGAACGCATCGCCTTTGATATCCTGGGACTTCTGCCACGAACTGTTGATGGCAACAAATTGTCACTGATTATCTCACCAAGTGGCCTGAAACGCATCTTGTTCCTGATCAAGAGGCTGTTACAGTAGCTGAGGTAATGATACAACATTAGATTTCTAGTTCGGAATGCCTCTTCAGTTACACTCCGATCAAGGAAGAAATTTTACCTCGGCTGTAATTAAAGAACTTTGCAAGCTACTCGGCATTGACAAAACCCAAACGACATCTTTATATCCGTAGTCTCATGACATGGTAGAGGGGCTTAATCGAACCAACTTTAATAACCTCTAGATGATGGTCTCCAGAAGCCAACAGGACTGGGATCAGAAATTACCCCAGTTATTTCTGGGCTGTTGCAGTGCTGTCCACAAAACTACCGGCTTTTCTTCATTGCAGATGCTTTTCGGTCGTGACCTTCGTCTGCCTTGTGATCTCTTGTTATGTCGCCCTCCGGATGCGCCTTCATCGCCTGAGGAGTAAATCAAGATCTCAAGGCATGATTTGAAGTGATGCAGAAATTTGCATGAGAGCGAGTCAACTTAGCGGCCTATATATAACTGTTACCGCATCTGACCCTCTTATGCCTTCCAGTAATTTCGAGAAATGGAAGGTACTAGGATTTCTTGGCGGCCGGAGGGAAAACTGTATAAACACGGAAACAGCACCGGTTTCTCATTTGTTGTTTAGGGCAGCGTGGTTCGGAGTATTGAGATAGATATCTCAGTATTTGCTTCGATATTTAGATATGCCAAAGAATTGTCGTCTTTTCTCTCTGTCAACGTATGTGGTGGTAGGTTTTATAGTAGCATATAGGTTGGATTCCATTATATATATAATCTTGTTTTGAAAACTGCAAAACCATGAAGGAATCCTACGAGCAAACTGAAACTTAAGGTAAATGCCCAAAAGATATAGAATGCAAATGATTGGAATTTCAGAAAAACCAGCTCCCTTAAATTGTCATTTTGGCCATATAAATAGAGGACTGTAGAGGAAACGTAAAAAGTGGGTATATATCATCTGCTCGATTTACAATCCTATCATCCAGCAGCTCATAGATCAACTTTAGGTAATTTTCTTAACAATAATGTTCCTGTTGTGTAGATAATTGTCTGATCGCGTTATTTTCTGATTTAAGAAAATCTTAATTTTATTTGATTCTGAATTATTTATTTTAATGCTTTAATTTTGGGGAAAAACAGATGCTTCTAAGAATATTATTTAGTTTAAAAGAATATTATTTATTTTCTTTTTATTTGCAATTTTTGTCCAAGCTTTGATTCATTGTGAAAAGAAGCAGGGAAAGGAGGCGATTTTGCTAAGTCATGATTTCGCGCGTTGTTTTGTCCTTTAGAATGTTCTAGAAGAAATTTCTTTTGTGCAATTGACCTTTAGGACAGGAAGTACGTGACAGAAGGGTCAGAGGTTGCCACTTAACTTCCGATGTAAGTCATTCTGGTTTTGGCGATCGGGGGTGCGGTTGTTGGCTAAGTGAAGAGGGGCGCGCATGTGTGATCACCCTAATTCTGTCATTCGGGGAAAGAAACGCAAATTTTGTCCAGATTAAGGGGGCGATAAATGAAGCCATTGTGGGAGCCCGTGTTTTGTGGAGGAGACGAAGAAAATTCAAGTTTGAATCACTTTTGGGACTGACCTTTTGACTAAGACTGGAACTTCGAACTTGCTCTTAGGTTGAGCGACAGAAAGGAGGAGATATAATTTCGTCGTGAGATGTGTTTCCGGCGGGAAGCGGCAAATATGCTCCCCAGCCGCGTTTTGGCAAAAAGGCGAAATGGAAGAGTGTGGAAATTATTCTGAAATATCTAAAACACTTTTGGACTGACTTTTCGACGGTGAGGTATTGCACTTGGAGTTCTGGTGATGAATAGGAAGGGTAGTTCGTCTTCCAGTTGTGCCTACGGGAGGGAACGGCAGTTAAGCTAACCGGCCACAGACTTGCTCTATATCTGTATCGGAAAAACCAAGGACGATGTCTTTCGGACTTGTATTAAAAAAAATACCTAGCTTCATAGTCTACGATTTTCCTGGTGGAACTGAGAGTCTATGCGGACAGCCGTGCGGGGCAAGCCTTCCAGAGTGAAAATTTTTCGTCTATGGAAACCAGTTACCCGGCCGCGTGTTTCGCCAAATGTGAGAAGCCAGGACAGGACGATGTCCTCTGAACTTCGACTTGTAACCGAGGGGCAGTGCCGTCGAGTCGCTGTTCGTCGAGGTGTCGTAAGCCTAGAATTAGGATACGAGTTCTCCACTTCAAGATGTCTACCTAAGATAAGTCCTTTTTCTGTGCTTGATGTATTCCTATGAGTTTTAAGTAAAGTTGCAGAAACTTCCTTGGAATTTTAAAACTAACATTAAATCTTTAAATTAATTCTAAATGGCTGGAAATTGTCTCCACTTCCCCTTCTTTCTTTTTCTGAGACATAAATGACAAATAGTAATTAGGGTATAAAAATATAGTTTGTTTTGTGAAATCATCCTTACAATAGATGTTGAATTTCAGATAATGTGTTTCTTTTAACATCCTAGAAATTACAGCAGTAGTTCAAGTTAAATTAAATTAGTCGTAAAGTAGATTTGCAAATCCTTGATTTAAATGTGTAATAAATGATATAAATTAAAGAATTCACATGTGTAACTAAAATACGAAAATTGAGTATCGATTACCTAGGATGTGAAATTTAATTTTTAATTGTTGAGGAATCTGAATAAACTTGTATTTTAATCTGGAAACCTATTTCTTATGTTTTCTTTATATCTTTTATGTGTTTTCTTATATGTATATTGATTTTACATCTTGTTTATACGATCCTCTCACGGCACGATCCCGGATGCTTAATACACAACGCAATGCCTAAATTCACTAGTACGATCACTAAAAGTGTGGAATTTAGCTAACTCTTAAGAGTTTAGTTCTCAGTTTGATATTTAATTAGTTATGGTTTCACCAGTATCTGTTTCTGCATCAGTTTCCTGCCTAGGAGGAAATAGAAACAGAACATTCCTACTGTTATAGGTAGTGATTTTAACTCGAAGCATTGCTACTGGGTTGGCGTAGCTCAAATAGAAATGGAGGAATACTGTATGATCCTTTGTTCAACAATCTTTGTAACCTGAATATTCGAGATGAAGTTACCTAGAGGTTCCCCCACAGAAGGCAATATTCTCACACCTTTGAACATACCTTAACACCTTGAATATTCCACATTCTTCTAGAATTCAGAAAAATATATTTTGGAATGTATGGTAAATTTTTGTGTTTACCTTTTAGGTTGCGATTTAGGCCAAGATGTTTAAACAATGTATCCATCAGAAATCCGAGAACTGAAGTCTTAGGAAAACCCGTTTCTTTTCCAGTCGGCATTGCTCCATCAGCAATGCAAAGAATGGCTCATCCAGAAGGTGAAATCGCGACTGTTAAAGGTAAGAAACTAATGCAGTTGTTCCCAACCTTTATCTCATATCGATCCCTTTAAAGGAATAATTTTCTTCATCGACATCCATACTTTTTTCTCTGTATTATAAAGCATACAATATAATCATAATACAAAAAAATGAACATAAATAACTTAAAGAAAACAATAAGAATATGAATAAAAGTTTTCAAAAAATGGGTTTCATTAGATTTGTAACTATTATTATTTTGTATTATTACTATTTTTAAGTTTATGAATAGAAACGCGTTATCAGAAACAAAATCATATTTTAATTGCACAAATGTTCGATTTTCATGAATGTTATGTGCTGATGATTTTTTTAAAATTTTTCCAAAAATGCGAGAGAAAAAATACACCACTATTTAATGAACAAAAATACAGCAATTTTTTTCAAAGATTTGCCATCAAAATGCTTATTTTGATTCTTAAATCACGTTTTCAAAAATATTCAGTCTGCTTCTTGTTTTCTGAGATAAACTACTGACCTGACAAAAGCCTGCTTCTGCTTGTTTAGTTTTTAGTGTTTAGTTTATTATGGCAAAGCGCACTAGGGCTACCTGCCTAAGGGAAGGGATGCCTTCGTGTATGGCTTTTGAAGAGAAACTGTCTCGTATACACATTAAGGCTTGGGAAGAAAATATTTAAATTAAAATATACAAATATTCTTAAATTTGCTAAATTTTCTAAAATACCCTCAGATTAATGAAACATGACAGTAATGACATGAAAGATACACGAAAATCCCCATGCAACCAGACTGTTTGCCTGGATTCGAACTTGAGTCGAAACTACCAAATGCTCAGCGATTTTGCCTGTTTGGCTTGTTTAAAAGAAGGGGAAAGGTCAATGACGTTGATTTAAAAACTTTTATTTTAGGATATTTATCTCCGATGACTTTTAAATTCTAAAACGTCGAATACTCTTGTGTTTTAAATAAGACTTATTTATATGATAAAGCTTTATATCAATAAACAATTAATTATCAATTTTATTAATATTTTTTAATCAATTGGATCTTGATTATGCTAATTATTTGCACCTGTTTATATTTGGCTATCAATCTCCAGTTGACCTCTTGATCATCGACACCTTTAAAATTTTATTATGAGGTGATCAATATCTACCCCGCTGAGAACCTCTAAACTAATATATTTTGCTCCACATTATCTACCCTTACAGATACCTAAGACTAATTCAAAAATTTATTTCATGTGCACAATGCTGGATCACAGGAGTGAATATCAGTGAACAGAATATTTTTAATAAAGTTGAAATAAAGAACTACCTTGTTAAAGCGACCACCGCAGGCATATTTGGCAACACTTGACGTTTATATGTTACAGTTCGGGCACTTGAGTTTGCCAATTTTGTGGACTAAACACAGAGGTAGTTTTAATAAAGAAGTACCAAAAATAATCATTATTGACATTTTCAGATTTAATTGACATTTTCATTTAATTGACATTTTCAGATTTTTTTCATTATTTTTTTTTCCAGATAAGCATCATTATAAAAAACGAAAATTTTGAATATATCACATGCGAGTAAAGCTTTAAAAAGGTCGAAAGAGAGTAATTAATATTTAACATATTTTGCTTATTCTTAAATTTGCTAAATTTCCTAAATTACCCTCAGATTAACGAAACATGACAGAAATACTCATCAACTCGTTACATTAGAAAATGTTTCTAATTCTATTTTCAGCTGTGATCTTCCCACACTGAAGTTTAGAAAACCATTTACCACAAATAGCCCAAAAGGGCGGGGGGGAAGAGAAAAATATGTTTTTAATTACACGGAAGCTTTGCCAACCTTGAATTGGATTGAAAAATATACAGCCAATTTTTTACATTCAAACAGACTTTCTGATTTCCTCCATTCCCACAAAAATTCGCCACCTCATTGGTGAGAAACATTTGTTTGGCTACCTCAACGCCTCACAAGTACTATTCTATGCATGAATAATAGCCCCCTAAAAAATGCATTTTATAAGAAAAAAGAAATTTTATGAGAAGGGTAAAATTTATATGGCCGATGTCTGCATTTTTTACACTTGATGGATTTGCTCGATTAAACATAAATGCTTAAATCCAAGTGTGTGATATATGCATGCGTAGGCTGGTTATTGTTAAACGGGGTTTACTCGCAAATATAAAAAAATGGAAATTCTACCAACCATACAAATAGGGGAATCAGAAATATGAATAATCAGAAAATATGAAGAAAGATTAATTTTGATCTTCAAAGACGAAATTTGGCAACATTTTGAAATTTCTAAAAGTGTCCAAAATTCGCTACATTAAATAGCCTTCATTTTAATCCAGTAATTTTTTAACGTATACACTTTTATATGTGAATCATCTCCAGGCGTTTTTGAACTGTTTGTATATCGATCCAGTTTAAACTATTCTAATTGATGTCATTTTAGTAATACAGTAATAATTTGAATGTTTTATAAAAATCGCTTTCTCAGTATTTCACTAAATTCCTATCAACACTTTGTTATCAAGTAAGGAAATCGTTTGCGCGTTACTATGCCAAAATATCTATGTTACGCATTAGTATTATTGGCATTTCGATACCAGGCTGACCAAGTTGGATTAAACAACAGAAATAAGGTTTATTTTCTGCTTACCTTCTGGGTTTGCAAATACTGAGTATTATACTCTTACAGTCGCGACTTTAAGGGAATAAAATACAAGTACCCGGTTGTTACTGCTCAAAAGGGCAGCCTATGCTGTCCCGGAGGTTAGTGGCGCAAGCCATCCGCCTTGGTAGTGGGTAACCCGATGGCCAGAGTTTATTCATATGATTGACGCGATCAACAGCCGATTTTTTAATTCCAATCTCTCAAAAAATCATTTTCCAGCCCATCTCAAACTGATCCTCCCAGCTGACGTAATCGACGAGACATCAGCCGATTTTTTCTTTACAACTCCGTGTGGTTTTCATGTAACGGAGGGGTGAATCTGGATCTGTAGAACGAAAATCACTTGAGTAAAAAAAAAACAATAACCGTTTTGCTGGAGACCCATTTCAACGACCATGGGATGTTGGCGAGAAGAATAGCGTAACAGTCTCTCGTAACAGAAAAAAGCTAACGATGACACACATTTCAGCGACCACGAAAGCCTTTTGGGAAACGTATTTTCATTATTTATAGAAAAACTCATGTTTAATATTCATAGTCTCCATGCCCCGGAAGTGGTGATCCTGGCAAACCTGTTTAGTGCTGAATGACAAGAGAAAATTCTATTTCTGGAGGGCGTTTTGAGTTTGTGCAATTCCTTTTAATATCACGGGACGTAATAAGACTTAATTTAACTCTTGATTATTCGATAAAAATAAATTTGATTCATTGTCTACTTTATGAAAAGTCATTATTTTTACATTAGTCAAGGTAATTTTGAACTGAAATGTACATTTTCCGTTGAGATAGACAGCTAACCCTTTTAACATAAGTTTCTTGAGATGGAATAAATCTGCGACTTTCATTGGGATAAAAATGATACACATAACCTCAAAGGGCTGAAAAAATAATGAAGCAATAAATAAGACAATACATGTAGATTAAAATTAATACCACGTCTGAACAATATTTAAAAAGATTCATATGGCCTTATGACATAACTTGCTTGTTCTTTATATTGTTACGTTCTAGGGGTTCATCGATTTGGTGCAATTGATAGCACTTGACGAAGAATCAATATTAATCGCCAGTAAGCACTATTACACAGACAGTTCAAAAGGCACTTTTACGCTCGTCAAAAAAACAACGACAAACACGTTGAAACAATCAGCAACACAGCCTTTACACTATAACGGTGAAGATGGCTTCACGGAAAAGCAGTAAAGTGCAGTTTCCGACTCGGACGATCCCTCTCAAGCAGATCTCTGAACTCAAGACACTACTCTCTCTCCGTACAGGCAGGATATATATAACTTTTATCTACCTTCGAGAATATCCCCGAGAAAACCGCTAAAAATGCAGGTTCTCAGTCCGTCTACGAATCTCCAGTTTTGTCGTCAAGTATCGCTAAATGACCGATTTCGCGCCAAATCTGGAAACCCTGTCTTTTTTGTCAGTTTCTGGCAAACCTAACGCTGCTCAGCCAGCAGACTTCTTTCTCGGTTCCACTGGAGGAGCTTCGTTTTCGACCCGCTTTGCGAGAAAGCTATCTCACCGCGCAGCCACTGCGCATTTCGCAACAATATTAAACATTGCTTATATTGATTATGACAGATTTTAGTATTCATCAGTTCCTACATTCATTCGATTATTTAGAGCACATCTAATGATAAATGGCAGTATTTTAGTAATACAGTAATAATTATTGTTAGCTGTCATATATTAGGAAAAATAAATGCAAACTGAATAAGAATCTCCATATTTCCAAGTTATTCGACTGAACTGTTATTAAACGTGTAACTTTGAAGCTACTCTGGGAAAACTATACTAATGTTCAAAACTTAAGCAACTTTTTCTGATTTTGGCCGCAATTCCGCATAAATCAACTGGGAGACGTGGAATTCATACTACAGAGGCACAATGTTGTATTTAAAGGATGAAGAAAGGAGAGTAGCAGAAAAAAATTGAATAGGACGCGTACAGTATAGAGTGAATTGAAAAAGAATTTATTGAAAGAATGGCGTTGAAACAAAAAGCTTTCTGGCCAAGAGGAAGAAAAACAAACCAAAGATTCTTAGTAAAGGATATGACCTCCCCTCACTGCAATGGTTGCGTTGCACCGTCTATCGATACTCAATATCAGATTATCTAACAGTTCTTGGTGTAAGAGTTCTCATTCTTCGAGCATCCTCTATTTCAATTGTCTGGTGTTCTCCGCAGGGTAAGATTATGCCTCCAGTCGTCTCGCTAAAGTATCGTACGCATGTTCATTTAAATCATGAATTTAATTTAATTTAATTTAAATCGTTCTGATTTAAATCATGAAAGCACGTTGCTCAGTCCATTCTATGGACATCTTCATTTTCCAGAAGCCCCTCAACAGCATGAGTTCTGCATGGCCGTGCACTGTCCTCCATAAAAACAAAGTCAAGATCAATGCACATAAGTCAAGATCAATGCACACCGAAAAAGACGCACATGGGGGAGAATAATTTCATCACAAGAACGATCTCGGCTAAATGAAATTGTTTCGAAAATGTGGGGTCTCTTCATCATAATGCCTTTTCATACAGCATGCCAGAATCACCCCAATGGTCTGTTTCCTTGATGCTATTGGAATGAAAGCGTGTACCTACCTCTCTCCATATCAGCTGGCGCCGAGAATCGTATATCAGACTGAAACAACTCTTATCGGTTAAGAGACGTGACTCTATTGATGAGGTGTCCGGTTTTAGTGTTCTCTACACCACTGTAAATGGTGCTTCCCATGGGCTCTTGATAATAGTCCGCAGCATTCTGGACGGCGAGCGAATAGGTTAGTTTTATAAAGTCTGGCAACAATAAACCGGAACACTGGTAGTCCGGTTGCCATGCATAACTGTTGAGCAATGCTGCCCGCAGTGTGTGTCGATCTCTTTTCTCCTGCTGGGCGATATATCGATCATCATTCATCGTTGTTTCCTTGGCCGACGACCATCAACTTTTTTACAGTTGTACTCGTCGTTTGGAAGGCTTCCCAGCGTATCCTGGCATCATGGCACTCATATTTGCATACGCGTTACCTTTCTATTGAGTTGGCTTTTGATTGTGCTAATCGCACAAAGCCAATTTCAACAATTTCATGGTTATATGTTAAAAAATGAATTTTTTGCTTAAGTTTGATACCCCAACAGTGTATGTTTCAGTTGCATTTATTAACTAGATATGTATATTATTATGGTCTTTATTTTCATAACTCAGACATTAGCATAACGTTTAAATCACCAACCCTTTTGCGCCGACTGTCACATATACGTGCCAACAAGAAACGCACTCATTTCCCGATCGACACGCTGGCGTACCAGAGCCTTTTCTCGTTCACCCCCGGCCGTTATACATTTGTGCCAGCGTCCTGGAACGTTTTAAAAACTATAACTTTCGGCACAAGATGGCATTGTATGTCCATATGGTTTCAGATATAAGTAGATTTGACCTTCTACTAAAAATTAGATTAGCATGACTCGCATACACGTGGTTTTTGATTATATAAACATAAGAAGAAAGGAATGTTTCCGAATGGCATGCTATATGTTGGCTCTTCAAGCTATCATATATGTTAAAATTAGCGTTTAAATATCTTTTTCCTTAATTTTATATAAAAATATATATAAAAAATTGCTGACTTTGAGAAATAATTTTCGGAAGCGCTATTCAAACTATTCCAAAGTTTCAAGTGATAAAATACATTAATAATAAACTTTTTAAATTAATATAAAAAATACAAGAAAGTTTTTTTACAAAAAGTAGAATTTTTCAGGTGAACTGGATGATAGACACTAAATGAGCTCAGTCTCTGTCTAAATGTCCATATGAGAATCACTAGAAATACGGCTTTCTAAGTCTTTAGGAAATGAATCATCACTCTCTTTCATATCACTAATTTGCTCATTTACCGTTCATCTGATAAAAACGCTTGCTCGCCATAATAAACTGAAGTCGTATAAGATTATATAAGTAAACTGAATGCTTTCCGAAATAAAAGCAATGCAAAACGTAATAGAACCTCACATAGTAACCCTAAAAGACTCTACATAGTAGCAAAAAAAAAGAATGCAAAAAGGATTCAAATGTATATAAAAACGCGAGTGTTTATATCACGACAAAACGCTTTGGTACGCCAGCGTGCCGGCCGGAAAATGAGTGCGTTTCTTGCTTCTTCATGGATTTAGACTTGATAAAAAAAAACCATCAAGCCATGGACAGACACTCGCGAAATAAAATGCCAGCTTCAGGGATAAGCGCGTGTTTGCGCTTCCCGTCTCGAAAGGGTTAAAGAAAATAAGAAAACAAAATATTTAAAATAATAGTGAATGATAATAAATCTCATGGTCAAAAGCAAATGGTCCCGCCATTAGGAGGTTTAAAATTATGTCAAGTAGTATGAGGTGGAGAGAGAATATAGTATGAAGAAGAGTAAGAAGTAGGAAATCTGAATAGTATATGAATAGTACGAAAAGAAGCATTCCCTTGCATAAATTAAAGCTAGGAAGGTGTAGGTTTTGAATAAACTTTTACTAATTTGGAGGATAATCCTCTTCTTCGGGAAGAGGGAGAGGTGTCTTCTTCGGGAAGAGAGGTGTGGGAATGTCAGCAGCAGATTTATAAAAACAAATTACTGAAAAAACAAAGAAGAAAAAGAACTCCATCTATAAACAAAACCGTAATGAAACTTGAAAAAGCTAAGTTATTGAAATTTTGAAAGCATTGTGGAGAACTGGTTTAGAATTTCTGCCGCTAACTAAAGAGGTTAATTTTTCTGTGAATGTGAAAAGACTTCAAAGAAGTTCGATTCACCAACTGCAGACACGTTTTGGATATTGCGTCGTAGAATCAAACCGAAAAGTGTGGTTAAGCGACCTGTTATGATTAGGTATCAAAGATTTGTTTAATTTCTGCTTTTCAAACAAAACATTCATATTCTTTGCTGATTATGATGCTCTTTTAGATCGGCCGATCCATATCAAACAATACTAACAAAAAATGCTATAAATTCCCCAAGAATTAAAATCAAAGATGGGAATCTTTAAGGCTCGCACAAGGAATTTTATTGATAGGTGGGAAAAGACTTGAAAGTTGAACTTAAGGAGAATCAGAGCAATTTTGTAATTGATATAATAAAATTAAATAAGAAGAAAATTATTGTAATTATTTCTAATAGCAGAATACCTTTTATGATGCGAGAAGAAAAGTGAAGTTCGTGAGTTCTAAATTTTTAAAAAGTGTTTGTAAAAGAAAGAGTACTTTAAAAGAAAACACAGAAAATAACCATGCTAGTTTAAGATCTATGTAAAACGAAACATTGGGTAGTTAACTTCTAGCGGCAGATTTTGTTTCTTCCTCTTCGCTCAACAGATTTTTTATAATTGTTTCATTTATTTCCTTATATAGGAGCGGCATCAGAGGCAGTGATCATGATTCTTAGTACTTTATCCACAACCTCCCTAGAAGATGTAGCAGAAGCTGCTCCTTCATCCAATCGATGGTTTCAGTTGTATATTTATAAAGACAGAAATACCACAAAAAACCTTGTAGCCCGAGCAGAAAAAGCTGGATACTCTGCGTTAGTTTTAACGGTTGACACTCCTGTTTTTGGTAACCGCTTAGCAGACACCAGAAATAGATTTTCTCTTCCTCCTCATTTACGGTTAGTACTTTTAGATAAATAAAAATCATGTGAAATTTTATGCATTTAAATTAACATTTCAATAATAAAACTTCATTATCAAATAAACATTTTCAGCATTTCTAAAACAGAAAATTTAATACTGTGTGTGTACCCATTATTTGATTATTATTTTTTGTTTTTCCAGGCTTGCAAATTTTGATTACGCTGATATCAAATGCTCAATACCTGCAACAGCGACAGATGATTCGAATTTGAATAAATATGTCAATTCTTT